GGGAGATTCTGAAGGCTATCAAGTCGAAAGGAATAAAGAGTGTTGCGGTGGCGTTCCTTCACTCATTCATGTAACCGTTCACCTTTTAGGGCAAGTTGTCTCAGTTCATTGTTTTGAAAGTTTCTTTTAGTTATCCTGCTCATGAATTGAAAGTGAAGAAAATTGCTCATGAGATGGGTATCAAGAGCGTTTCTCCTATCACATGAAGTGATGCCAATGATCAAGATTGTTCCTAGAGGCTTCACAGGTAATTATTGTGCCCTTCGTACTTTGATGACAGCTCGCGACAGCGTACTTAAAGACAGTTCTCTTGAATTAAGTGATCGGTAAAATGTCTCTGTACATTTGCCATCCAGAAGCGCACTCGCGTATCCTGTACCACCTTCGTATCTTGAGAAGGTGACATAAAGCAACCACAGACGCGTGACTATTGTGCACTTTGTTCCTTTCGTTCTACAAGACAACCATTTGCACGCGGAATTGAGTGTATACGTTTTGTTGCTGCAGCGTCGTTGGGCGATTCCATATGGTCGCCGAGGAGACTTGTCCACTCTTTCACGAACTCACGAGTTGTTCTGCTTTCCATGGATACCTTTTTGAAAACGATAGGCGAGTAGCAGTACACTTCGCAAGGCAAGGTGCCTTGCGGCACGGCCCAAATTTCGGCTGCAATGCATCTGTCAGCCGAACGTTCTCTCGCCAGGGTACAGCATCGTTGTGCGAAACCCATAGGGGGGTCGTACTTGGCCGCTGGGGAGGGGGGGTCGTAATCTCAAGGGTCACTCAGAGCCGGGCAATGCTTCGACATTTCAGTTGATAGTGGTGGAGCTATGGAAGTCAAGATGTTAAAAAAATGAAAATTATTATGAGTGTATTCTTTACAGATTTAACTGCTACGTTTAACAGCCCTCTTTTCATGCGAAATCCCCAAAAATGGGTTCGTACTTGGCCGCGGGGACGTGGGGAGTATCGCAAAAGTAGGCTCGCTAGGCATCAAACAGTACAAAAGTGTCATTGCTAAGTTTGATG